TAAAGTCACAATCACCCGCTATTAGATTTCAAACCGTCTGATTTGTTGTTGGTTGTTTAATAGCTAAAAATGACTACGAGTTCTTATTATACATGTTCCTGAATAAATTGGGTCTAGGTTTTGGACCCAAACCCAACCTGTTGGGTCCAAATGATATCCAAACCTATGTCGGGTATACCCGACGGATCCGGGTCCGGGTCCATTGCCACCTCTAAACACCACTTACACGTGCACGTCTGCGTGTTTTAGAAAGAGAGGGCGGGGGCCTTGGTCATTGAAATGGAAAAAAAATTATCATGTCACAAAATTCTTCATTGTAATAAATAATTCGTGGCGTACTTTATTGAATTGGACACTTCATAGTAAGCTCCACTCAAGAAATGGCATCTTGTTCGCCCGTTTTAAGGAGACCAAATTAATGGTGTGAAACCAAATTAGTGGTGAGTAGGTGACATATTAAGTGGATTTCATTTGTGTTTTTGAACCTGACATATTAAGTGAGTTTCCCACTTGCACGAAAGAGACTTGAGGAATAGGTTCCACTCCAAAAAACGTCCAGCTTCTTCTATTTTATATTTGTTGCTTAAAAAAATAATATTGGAAAATTTATCAAAATATCTGTGAGATATGAACTATTTAATAGTTTGTCCATATTATTTGCCATGGTGTACAATACGCCATTATACACAATCCGGGTATGGTATATTTTCTCCCTATTCCTTTTTTCAAAAATTAGATATTTTCGCAAATCCCTACTGGACTATAATGGATCCTAAAAAAATTGGCATTGAGAAAAAAAAAGAAAAGAAAAAGGAAAACTTGGCCCTGAGAAAGTTAGACTAAATTTTCCAAAATTTTATACTGATGAAAAAAAAATCCACCATTTTATTCTAGATTAGTTCCTAATTTTCAACAAGTATTTTTCAGGCAAAAGATTATTCCGGCCCAAGCTTCTTATACCGTCCCTCTTTTGATTTTCCCCAAAGTTTAAAATTTCCCAAAAATAAAAATAAAAATTGGAATAAGGTCATTTGAGAAAAACATAAACTGTATGGAAAATAGCCAAAAGTGAAAAGAAATGGTCAACTTCTAATTTTATATAGTCTCATAGTCCTATGTGATATTCTTCTATGGAAAAAGTTTTATATAAGGTTGCAACTTTATATTGTTGAAATACATTGCACTTCAGCAATCCTATAGTGGAGAGCATTACGGCGTAGGAGAAACCTCCAACTTCTCATCTAGACTATGAAATAAATGGATATAAAGACAAAAAAGAATTTCAAGTCTAAACAAATAGTGCATTGTAACAAGTTATATGAACTGTTAATTTTTAAGATTTTCAAATGTTTCTTGATCTGCTCTATCTGTTCAATTTTTTAAATTTTAAATTTTATAACTTAGGATAAAAAGAGAGTTTGTCTTTAAGTAAATTTTATAAGTGCGCCTTACTTCTACAGTATAAAGAGACAACCTTACGCAAACCTCACCCTTCTTGTATAGCCGTAGATATATTCGAATCAATTTTACCTAATCAATTAAATAATCATTAATTATTCACAAAACATATTATAAACAGATTTTGTCATTTGACATTTAACAAAGGGCACAAAAATTATTTTAGTACAAAAACCTTCCCTTACAAATTACGAAAGAGCCCATATACGATTCTCATTCGACAAATGGAATCACAATCCCACTATAGTCCACGGGATTTTTTGTTTTATTAAAATAATAAAATAAAAATGACAAAATGGTCATATTAGGTGGGAAAAAGGTATGGAGAAAGAGTGAATAACAGTTAGGAATTTGGTTAGGAAAAATACAGCTAGTATATGCTACTCGCAGGCATCATCATCCATTTGTTCTTAAGATTGACGGTGGAGATGAACCACAGCTCCACCTTAATTGTATATCAGCTCATTCACAACGGTCCATCTCGACCATCCAATGAGATGTATCAAATGAGGCGGGTTTTCCATGAAGCCCTCTTAACTAACATTAATTAAGCACTACTATTTCTTTCAAACTAGATTTTAAAAAAAAAGGCATTTAAAGACAAAAATGTTTTTATGATTTTTGTTATTCCTATTTAATATGTCATGCACCGTAGGTTTTAGGGTATTATTTCTAGCTTTTATCCAAGGTACGGCTTTTAATAGAGCAAAATGATGTCCAAGATTCATGTAGCCGACTCCAATTAGTTAGAAAAAAGCTCTACTATTCACCCCAAAAAATGAAATTGATTATGATGGAATAAAATTGGCCGAAAGGCACACCCTCCTATATGTACACACTAATTACTGATTAAGGGTGGCAATGGGCCCGGCAGCCCAATGGGCCAGAGCATTCATATGTGGCCCACTGAGCAAGCGTAGGGCATCCAGGTCTTGGCCCGGCTTAGCCGAGGCAAATAGAGGGCCTGGTCCCTGCCGTTCCACCGGGCATGGCCATGTCTGGACCTAAAAAGAGCTCTCGGCTCGGCCCATTACCATATTGAAAGAAAAAAAAAAAAGGAAGAAAGAAAAAGAAAAACTTTAGCATATCTTGCTTGATACCACATAAAATTCATTAACTATTAAGCAAAAAAATTGAGCATCTCTTACCTATCAACCCTGTCTCTTAGTCTGAGTAGAAACCTCTCATTATCATCCTCGACAACCTTGAGAACGCTCTCTATCAATTGCTTTCTATCTTGCAAACCCAGCTTTCGAACATCAACTTCATCATGGACAATCTTTCCATCATCTAAAACTTGCTTCAAAATCCCCCTTCTCAGTCTATCATAAGTTGGGAGTTTTTCTAGAGCTGCCCACTTCAAGTCCTCTTCGTCGTCTTCCGACGTGCTGCGCCGGAAAACATCGCCAGAATTGGACCAAGCTGCCCGGAAACTGCCGGAGTTCCAACCCCCTCTACTACTCATCGACCTGCTGAGGTCGTCGGGGCCACTTATACCCGCCATTTCGGCCGATATGTCCCCGGAAAACCGCATTCTCTCGCTGGAGAATGGTATGAGGGGAAGTTGGCTTTGTGTATTCAGGAGGTGGAGGGGAACTATATAGGGAAAGTGGGATGGAGAAATAAATGGTGCGGATATGGGGCTTGGAGATGGCACAGATGGAGAGTTATGTAGAGAGAGAGAGAGAGAGAGAGAGAGAAGAGAGAGAGAGAGTGATCAAATGAGCTATTTGTCAAGACAGAGACTCACGGAGAAACGAGAGGAAAGGAGTAGAGATGGCACCGAAGAGGAGAGGAATAAGTAGGGAACTAG